AGGAACCTGCTGTAAAACAGCAATTATGCTGAGTCTGGCTTGATTTTTAATAATCTTTTCCTGTTAAATCAATAAATATAATCAAATCAAATACACAAAAGTTTTTCTTACATATGTTCAAACTACTGTAGAAAAATGACACCTAGATGCTAAACAAATAGCTACATGTTTGTTTGTGTAAGTATTTTCCTGAAAATGAGATGAAATGCTGATAATGAAATAAAACCATAACTAATGTTTTGTTGCACTGTTTCCTTCTATATTCAAGCAGTCCACTGAAAGAAAGAGTAAAGTTCATTAATGACTTTCAAATTTTCTGTTAAAATTTATTTTAAATGTATTATTTGTCACTTGCTACACTTAAAAATTTGTTCTCATCACCACCACAGTTCAGCTGTGTTTGTTTTGAAAATGTTTAATTTAGTCTAGTTGTATATCTTTGTTTATAKAAAGTTTTGTGTTTATTTGAATCAAACTGTGTGTTTAGTCCAGGTTTCCTCAGATTGGATCATGAATCCATCAGGTGTTTCCACCATCTCCATGTGTTGAATATGAATAGTTTCAACTTAATTTTCCAGTTTGGGTTTTAGGTAAATAATGAAGGTAAAATCAAAATACTCCAAAAAAGGACTCTAGAGGGTTAAGTTATCTATTTTCTCCAGAACTAAGCAGAATAAGAAAAATGTTTTCAATGTTGTTCTGACTTAAGGCTGTAAATCCAAGAGGGCCCCGTGTATTTCCTGGAAGGAGGGCCGTTCTTTTGTGTTCCTCCTCCAACAGGTCAGCATGATCTGGTAAAGCAGGTCTGGGCACAGAACAGGTTGAGGCAGGTAGATCTGCAGGATAACAGGAAAAGAGATGAAATCTGGCATGCATGGTGTTTACAAAATGTAAAAAAGAAAAAAAAAACAAAGGTTTCTATTCATGTTCACCTGTCGTTTCTGGTCCCTGAAAAACTCTCCTGTGTTTTCTATCACCTGCTCATCTGTAAGCTGAGAGTACGGCTGCTCTTTGCAGAAGTTTAGAACTTCCCAGAGTGTCACACCAAAGGCCCAAACGTCACTCGCCGTGGTGAACTTACCCTGCACGAGAAAATATGTTGCGCTGATGTGGAAATACAATAAAAACAGTCATTTCAGAGGCAGTCTTTACCAGAAGGACGCTTTCCCACGACATCCAGCGTATAGGCAGCACCGCTCGGCCCTGGATGCGGTAGTAGTCACTGCTGTATAAGTTCCTGCTCATGCCAAAGTCAGCTATTTTGATGGTGTAGTTTTTGCCCACCAAGCAGTTGCGTGTGGCTAAGTCTCGGTGGACGAACTTCAGAGAAGAGAGATACTTCATTCCCGAGGCGATCTGAGTGGCCATGTTGCACAGATCTCCGAAGCTAAGGAAACGATGAGAAAGATATTATTTAGTTGGGAATTAGAATAGGCCTTGCAATTCCTGAATTAATGTTTGCTGCTTTTATGCCAGAATTGTAAACTTAGATTATCCTAAGATAAAAATGAAGGTGTTTCGCTATTTTTTTCAAATTTTGAAGAAAGCATTATGGAGAGTTGCATGTGATAAAGTGGTTTGCAAAAGTATTCATACCCCTTGAACTTTTCCATATTTTGTCACATTACAACCACAAACATAAATATATTTCACTGGA